AGAGAGAGAGAGAGAGAGAGAGAGAGAGAGAGTAAGGTTGAGCGATACAAGATTGGGTTACTACGTACCTGCTGCGCTGAAGATATCGCAACGGAGAGAGAGAGAGAGAGAGAGAGAGAGAGAGAGAGAGAGAGAGAGAGAGAGAGGCAAGTTTGGTTGTCACATACCTGTGAGGCAAGCTGTGCAGTCCCACGTGGAGGAGGGAGAAGCGGCCATAGCCACGGAGTGTCACCACAGAGTACCGAAGGAGGGAGAAAGACCGAACAAAGGGGAAGAGATTGAAAAGGGAGAGAAAGAGGCCATAGCCGAGAGGTGAAGAAAGGGCCGATCAAAAAAAAAAAAAAAAAAGAGAAGAAGAAGACAGTCGGGGTGAAAGGAGGCCAGGAAGGTGAAAGGAAGAAGAGGGTTGGCGAGGAAGAGGAGCCGGCAGCCATAGCTGACCGGAGGGTTGACCGAGAGGGTTGACCGGGGGCTGATAGCAGCGTTGACCGGCATTGACCAAGGCGTTGACCAAGACTTTGACCAAGTTGGAGCCGGTAACATCTCTCCAAGCCTTCAGCATATCCCTCGCCCTATGGATGAGCACACACCCCTTGGTACTTGTTGAGTCCAGTCTGTCTGTTTATTCTTTCTGCATCGAGTCTCTTCTGTCCTAGGTGATAGTACTCTGTGGATGAAGGATAGGGTCTTGTAGACCAAACCCACACGGGATGAGTAGGGCTAAAAGTTGTGTCTGACGACTCGACTGTCCCGGAGGTCAAACCCTCCCAAGGACCGGTACTGACCGGCGGGCGGCTCGGTGTGGCACGGTAGGCCCGAAATCCGAGCTGTGGGCTGCACAACAGACCGTCTAAGTCTTGAGAGACCTGTTGATCGCGTCGTCCTGTATGCAACGTTAAATAATTCCTGAGGAGTTCGGGGGATCTCCTTAAATGCCTCCTGATCAGCAACAGGTCTAGTAGTGACAGCCATAGTGTAGGTCCAGGCTAGAGACCATAGTTGGCAGGATCCTCGTTAGGATTTTGTAAGTCCTTAGATTGAGTCAATAGGTTTGTCAGTCAGGGGTCAGAGTCTACGTGGTGAGGTTTGGAATCACTAATCCGGTTGTACACTTATCACCATGTTGGAGTTGCGTAGTGGGAAGAGTACTAGCCCATACACCCCTGAGCAGCAAGAGAAGATGGCCGCCCTAGTGAGAGAAAACAGGGAGAGGAAGGAGCTCGAGAAGCAGGCGAAGCTAAAGGCTATCGCAGAGGAACAGGCGGCTAACATGAAGAGGTTGGAGGAGGAGATGAAGAAAGTTCAGCAGGAGGAAGAAGAGAGGAGAAAGGTTGCTGAAGAAGAAGCGGCAGCAGAAGAAGAAAAAGAAAGAATGCGTATTGAAGGAGGAGAAGGGAGTAGTGGCACGAAGAGGGATACAGATGAAGAGATGGAGAAGAGGATAAGTGAGTGGGTCGCTAATTTATCGTTGGGAGAAGACGAAACGGCGAGAAAGGGAGGAGGAGCAGAAGTTGGCATGGAAACTGAGGATGAAGACGGAGAAGAAGAGGAGGAGAGAGGAAGTCAATAAACTGACTGCAGAGGTGGCGAAGGTGAAAGAGTGTAAAAAAGAAGTGCAGGCCCTGGCAGACGACAAGGCCAAATGGGATAAGGTGTTGGGCTACTTAGAGGTGTTGAGTACGGCTTGGATGGAGGAGCGCCAAGCCAGTTGGAGTCAAGAGGTAGCCTTGAGTGCCATGCGGTCGGGGTTTAGGGACTTTGCGCGCGATATGATTACCCACATTGGGGGCGAAGTCAAGCAACTGAGAGACAATGTGGGGAAGTTCTGTGAGGGCGCCATTGAGGGTGCCAAAGCAATAGCCGTTGTAGAGGGCGAGGCCAGGCCTCGCAAGGACCCAGTTAAGCTTAAGTTTCCCGATGCGTACGGGGGAAAGAAGGAGGAGAACTTTGACAACTGGGAGGCCAGTGTCAACGGTTACGTGTATCTACAGCAAGTCATGACAGAGGAGCAAGTCCTCGTGGCCTTCCAGACCCTTAAGGATGAGGCGGCTAGTTTTGCCAGGTCCCTTGCGCACGCAGCCGGTTGTGAAAACAACCTGTTTCCTTACTCTAAAGTCACCCCCCTTCCTCAATTCTTCAAGCTCATGAGGGAGCGATTCGCTAACCCAACAAGAGGCGTTAGAGCCTCTGACAAGCTACAAACGATCCACTCGCAACAGTGGAGAAGTGCGAGAGCACTCAAGGGTACCATGGACGACTTGGTAGCCGTCCCAGACCATGGGGTCACTGAGACCTTCTGGGACCTTCCCTGGTCCTTACACGGGCTGGCCACCCGGGACCCAGGCGGCCTGACTGGTAGCCTAGGCMCAAAGTTTTTTTTTTTTTTTTCCCTTCTTCCGGACATATATACTATCCGGACAGGAATCCGGAAATGTCATTCCGGACATGTCCGAATTAACCTGAAAATACCGAAAAATCGGATGTTCGGATTAAACCGGGAATTTCGGTGTCCGATGTCCGGACTTGTCCAATTTGGTTGTCCGCCACCGCCATGGTATTTAGATGATATTATGATTTTCAGTAAGACGTAAGAGGAAAACGAACAACATATCCGGTCAATATTGAGCAAGTTGTGTGAAGCTAACCTTAAGTTGAACCCAAAGAAGTGTGAATGGGTCAAGCGTCGATGTGTTGTATTTGGGTCATGTGTTGGATGGAAACGGAATGAAACCTGAAGACGCCAAAATAGCAGCAATCAGCAACAGGCCAACACCGCGTACTTTGCGGAACTACGATCGTTCCTTGGTATGACCAACTATTACCACAAGTTCGTATGGAACTTTACTGTAATAGCTGCTCCATTGCATAGGTTGTTGAGGAAAGAAACAGTCTGGAAGTGGGACAAGGATTATACCTCAACCTTTAAGCGTCTGAAAAAGTGTTTGATAGAGTACCCAGTTTTGAAGATCGCCCATCCATACTTACCGTTTATAGTGACCATTGATCCTAGGCAATACGCGATAGGTGTTGTACTCCAGCAGAATGATCGCAATGGGTACAAACCATACTTGTAAGCAGACGGACCGGACGAGCGTCCGGTCTGGTCCGCTTTTCCGCGTGCGGCACCCTCCCCCCGGACCAGACGGACCCGGACCGGACCGGACAGGGCCATTTTTTTTTAATTTTTTTTTGGGTGGGGCGTAACTGGTCGTCGGGCGCACATTCGTGCGCCGCGCGGGTCCGGTCCGGCGGTTTGCCACACGTGTGGAACCGCCCGGACGGCGTCCGCTTGCAAGTATGGTACAAACCCGTTGAGTTCATGTCCTGTAGACTGCCTAGTGAGAAGGTTGCCGCTTCTACGTACGAAAGAGTGTGGTTTGCTCTTAGAGAAGCCTTAAATCACTGGCGGCATTACCTCCTAGGGCGACATTTCAAGGTGTATTCAGACCATGAGTCACTTCGCTAGTGAAAGACCCAAGCCCGGATGACACCTAAGTTGGGGAGATAAATCAGTTTGACTTTGAACTAAAGCCGGTAAAGGGGAAATATAACGTTGTAGTTGATGCGCTAAGTAGACGAGCTGATTTCTTCGGTGCCATCGTAACATACTTAGATGTGGGCACCGAGTTACAAAAGAAGATTCGATCCGCTTAAGCTAGTGATCCGGTCCATAGTCAGTTAATTAACAAGGTGCAGATGGCACCACATGAAGTTCCGAACTATAGGGTGCCACAAGGACTGCTATTTAAGGAGACCGACATGCACGACAGACTGTGCATACCAAACAATACGGAGATTCGCAGTCTAATCCTAGGGGAATGTCACGACGCTGAGGGGCACTTTGGTTGGAGGAAGACGTATGCTAACCTCCTACGTTCCTACACATGGACTGGAATGAAGCATGATTGCATAGCTTATGTACAAGGCTGCGAAGTGTGTCAAAGGAACAAGAGTTCCACGTAGCGTCCCCTTGGTTTACTTAGACCGCTGCCTATATCGTCGGGTCCCGGAGACTCTGTGCCTATAGACTTTATGGACACTAAGGTTAGAAGCAAAAATGACAAGAGTCAGGTTATGGTAATTGTGGACAGATTTAGCGAAATTGCTGTTTTTGTCCCACTCCCTGTTGAAGCAAGAATGAACTTAGTTATTCCGGAATTATTCAATCATTGGGTAAAAGACTACGTGCATCCCTTGACTATTGTAAGTGATAGGGATACAAGGTTCACAGTCGAGCACTGGCAACAACTCATGAGCGTCTATTGGTCCAAACTGACTATGTCCTCAGGCAGACATCCTGAGACAAATGGACAGAGCGAGCAGGTGAACAAAGTGCTGCATATGTGCATTCGGCCAGATCAGATTGACTGGGATGAACATCTAGCTAAGGTCATTAGTGCTTATAACAATTCTGTGCATTTCGCTACAGCAAGAACGCCCACTGAACTGTATTTGGGTTGGCGCACGCGCAGGCCCATTGATTGTCTGAACCCTGATCAAGTGCAAAGTGCTTCCTCCAGGGACCAGAGAATTCTCTGTCCAATATGAGAAGGACTTAGGAAAAGTCAGGGAAAATATTAGAAGGGCACAGCACCAGATGATAGAACAGGCAAATAAACACCACAGACCTTCGCAGTTCGCTGCAGGGGATTTGGTCTGGGTGAAGTCTAAAGAGTTTCTTCTAGAGGAGAATATCTCGCAGAAGTTATTGCCTGCGTATAGGGGACTGTGGCAGATACTCGACGTAATTAGTGATGTGGATGGTCCTTCCCAATTTGTTGAGATTCCTGCACATTTGCACACTTACCCGGTGTTCCATGCCTCTCAGTTGCTCCCTTGTGTCAGCAATGAGCTATTTCCATCTCGAAGATCTATGATTCCTCCTGATATGGATGGCAAATATGACGTGGACCACATCATCGCAAAGGATGTTTATAGATCTGGACGCAGGGGTAGGCCCCAGCGACAATATAAAGTTAGATTTGCTCATCAAGAACCTTCGGAAGATTGCTAGTTTACTAGAGATGAGCTGGTTCAGATAGCACCGCGCACAGTGTCTTACTATGAGAAAGCTAGGAGAGGAATCAACATAGTTGACAGACAAAGATTTTAACTTTCTCGGAGGACCTCGAAATTAGGCCGGCGAGAGTGAAAGGCATTCCATGATGCAGACCCCAAATTTGATTCTCAGGGTCGAAGTCTCAGGCCGAGAGGGGCCAAGTCGGCGAGTTTCAGAATAGCTAAGTCGGTTGCCCCTCATAGGTCGAGTCCAACAGGTACCCGGTCAACAGTCACATCCAATAGGCACAAGTCACGTCTCGCTGTGAAAGGACATATCCCACAGGCAAAGGGCACTTCCCCAGGCAAAAGTCGTGTCCCACAGGCGAAGTCACCTCTCGAAGTCAAAGGACATATTCTACAGGCAAAGGTCATGTCTCATAGGCAAAGAGGCATATCCCACAGATGAAAAGTCATGACTCACACGCCCAAGCAGCAGCACACCAAGGGAAAATTCAGTGAGGTACCAGGCGTCGACATCTGAAGCAAACAGACCGTGGGCATGTGGTACCAGTACCAAGTCAAGCCAAAGGAAGCAGAGGCTGGGACGAGTTCAGGCTCAGTCAAAGTCAATATAAGGACTGACCTGCCACATTTCAGGCAGATTGCTCATTCATGAGAAGTGTGGAAGTGTTGCTGAAGCGCTTGTGCGCTATCTGCGAGTGGCATGCGCGAGAGCCCTGCTGGGCAGCGCTGTGCTGGGAAGGGAAGGCGGCCATAGCCGCTCAGCTAGTAGTAGGAGGTCTACCTGAGTGGTGGCAGATGTATTCAGAGTCGAGATCCTCAAGTGGAGAGAGGGAGAGAGAGTAGAGGGAGAGAGTGAGCGCATGCGTGAAGAAGACAGAGAGAGAGGGGGGGGGACAGAGAGAGAAGAGAGTCACCTAACTTGGACGAGGATGCTGGAATTGGGTTGCTCTGCACTAATAAGCGCTGGTGACTGGAACTCCGAAACTGCTTAATATGATAATTTGTTGGAATTTCTAAGATGCGCTTATCTGGACTTTGCATCTCTGGACACCAGTGCGGATTTCCTGTGATCTCTCATTGTGTGCGTGTGCTCAACGTGACGAGCGGTGAGGCTCAATGCAATATAAATTATATTATTTTTTTTATATATCGTCAAACAGAACTGCCCGGTAAACGGTCGGCAGAGCGGGAGAAGAGGACAACAAACGAGGGGTTGTGACAAACTGTTTCGTCGGAGTTTCACCGATTCATCAGGAGGCTGAAACCTCAACAGTCTGCAGAATCCCCTAAGTGATTACACTGTAAGTGATAATCCACCTTAACCCCGGTTATATATGGTCAAGCAGAGCTGCCCGGTAAACCATAGGCAGAGAGGGAGAAGAGGGCAACAAACGAGGGGCTGTGACAAACTGTTGCGTCGGAGTTTCACCGACTCGTCAGGAGGCTGAAGAACCCTCAACAGTCTTCCGAATCCCCTAACTGATTACACTGTAATGTATATATAATTTATATCTATATTTATATATTATATACATATATATCAGGGTTTAGCCTCCTGACGAGTCAATGAAACTCCGAAGAAATAGTTTGCCACAGCCCCTCGTTTGTTATCCTCTTCTCCCTCTCG